AAATATGTCTTTTTTTTTTCTTTTTTGACAGGCAGAGTGGACAGTGAGAGAGAGAGAGAGAAAGGTCTTCCTTTTGCCGTTGGTTCACCCTCCAATGGCCGCCGTGGCGCGCTGATCCGAAGTCAGGAGCCAGGTGTTTTTCCTGGTCTCCCATGCGGGTGCAGGGCCCAAGCACTTGGGCCATCCTCCACTGCACTGCCAGGCCATAGCAGAGAGCTGGCCTGGAAGAGGGGCAACCGGGACAGAATCCGGCACCCCGACCGGGACTAGAACCCAGTGTGCCGGCACCGCAGGCGGAGGATTAGCCTATTGAGCCACGGCGCCGGACCCAAATATGTCTTTCATCTAATGATTTATTATTGTTTAGATGTCTAGAGGCTAATCTTGCACTCTTAAATAATCAAAAAGTCATAAAAATTGGGGACCCAAGACCTGTGTTCAAATTCTGTGTCTACTACTTATTGACTTACCATCTCTATTAACCCTAATTCCCTCACCCAAAAAATGATAATAATCATATTTACATCATGTATATATTTTTTTCTTTTTTCTTTTTTTTTTTTTTTTTTGACAGGCAGAGTGGACAGAGAGAGAGAGAGAGAGACAGAGAGAAAGGTCTTCCTTTGCCGTTGGTTCTAACCATCAACACTATACAAATATTAATTGTTGCTATTATGCCCAGAGTATGAGTTGCTTACTGGGCTTTTGTTTTTTCTATTCTTTCTTTATAAAAGGACTTTCATAAGTGATATGAAGACCCATATGAAAACACCTGCTGAATCTCAGAAATACAATGTGAAAGCAGGGCTGGTGCTGCGGCGTAGCAGGTAAAGCTGCTGCCTGCAGTGCTGGTATCCTGAGTGGACACCAGTTCAGGTCCCAGCTGCTTTACTTCCAATCCAGCTCTCTACTATGGCCTGGGAAAGCAGTAGAAGATGGCCTAAGTCCTTGGGTCCCTGCACCCACTTGGGAGATCCAGAAGAAGCTCCTAGCTCCTGGCTTCAGATCGGCCCAGTGCTAGCCATTGCAGCCACTTGGGGAGTGAACCAGCAGATGGAAGACCTCTCTCTCTGCCTCTGCCTCTCTGTAACTCTGCCTTTCAAATAAATAAATAAATCTTTTTTAAAAAGTTAAAAGGACCCCCTGAGGAACCACTCTATTGGTCTATAAATACTACAAAGAACATTTTAAGACCAGATGAAGAGGCCGGCGCCATGGCTCAATAGGCTAATCCTCCGCCTTGCGGCACCGGCACACTGGATTCTAGTCCCGGTCAGGGCACCAGATTCTGTCCCGGTTGCCCCTCTTCCAGGCCAGCTCTCTGCTATGACCTGGGAGTACAGTAGAGGATGGCCCAAGTACTTGGGCCCTGCACCCGCATGGGAGACCAGGAGAAGCACTTGGCTCCTGCCTTTGGATCAGCTCGGTGCGCCGGCCGTGGCGGCGGCAATTGGAGGGTGAACCAACGGCAAAAAAAAAGGAAGACCTTTCTCTCTGTCTCTCTCTCTCTCACTGTCCATTCTGCCTGTAAAAAAAAAAAAAAAAGATGTAGAAATTGTGTAAATTGTGTATACCATATACAAATTCCAAAAAGTAATCATTCAAAAATGTGTGCATATTTGCATCAATGAGGGAAAAAACACAAAATAATTGATCTGTTAAGTCTTTTAAAATGATTGAGAAGTGCTGAAGGAAAAGGTTTCCATGACTGTTAGGATTTAATATCCAGCTATAAAGGCTGTATTTCAGTATTGGAGGGAGATGTTATCATGTTAAGAGAGAAACCACTACTTCTAGTATAAGAGTGCTTAACTTTGAATCTTTCTTTCATGTTAGAGGATAAGCTTTTGAAGGCAGTGATAGCCTTAAATCCATTTCAGTGAACTAGCACTCTTCAGTAAATATTAAATTTTCATTGATGAAACTTTGCCATGCTTACTTCTGTTCTCTGAACTAAGATTATAACCTCTGTGTTGCTGGTCCTGGTTTACAGAATAGGGAGACTAAGCATGTATGTTAGGATACCAGCAAAAATCATATTTAAATATTTCCCCAAAGAATCTAATATTTAAGCAAAAGCACTTGAAGTAGTCATCATAAGCAATATCAGAACTGTGTTGGACTTTTTTCTTATTTTGGGTTTTTGTATTATTTTAAACTCCACTTATGACATAGAGGTGGCAGGATATCAAAATCTTTTCAGTACTAACTAAGGAACTCCAGAACTCTTAATCCAGCTCTGTGTACAGGCATCTTAAGTTGGCATTAATTTTACATACTCAGTTATTCAGCACAATTATTTTATTTCATGAAACTTGTAACATGTATATCCATTCTTTACAAAGTAAATGCAGTTTAAGATTCTTCCTCATTACAATACTTTCTCTAAGCAAAAAATCATAACAAATGTTAGCAAGTCTCATAAATTGGACTGCTGCCAGTTACAAGTTAACAGTTACTATACCATCATATCTTCCAGCTGTACTGAAAGTACATAGTTCTCAGAATAATCAACAGTAAATTACTATTTATTACTGGTATAACTGGAATCTTAAATGTTCTACTTGATGTGTCTCAATTTTAAAAAGGAATGAATTTCTTACATTGTATTGTAGTTTGCACTTGTTTCACAAGTTTAGTTATCTGGGAAAAGAACTCTGGTTGTTTGTTCTCTCCCTTTCTCTTTTTCTCTCTCTCTCCCACTCTCAATTCAGCTAAATAAATTACTGCCAGATTCCCAGCTTCAACTCTCCCACTACCTATCAGCCAGTCTGATTATCCAGATGTTTCTGGTGTGTTTTGCTGTTAATACTCCCAGTACACTTCAAGGAGCTGGGTACAGATGTTGCTTGAGGATATGCTTACCAGACGCTGGGACTAATTAGACCACTTGTCATTTTTTGCTTGGTTTCATTTTGACTACTGGGTGCATCATGCAACTGTGTTGGTTATTTTTAAGAGCATGAAAATATAGAAAGCAGTAGTTAATTAACCTCATATAACTAAACAGGAAGTTAGCAGTACAAAGACTTGGAATCAGATGAGTGGAGTAAGATATAGGGGAAGAGAATACTCCCCTGCATTTAGGCACTCCACCCTCCCTACCCCTACCCCTACACACCGAGCCTGCATCTAAGTAGTAAGTAGTTTCGGCGACAAAGACATGGCTTTGTTAGAAAACACTTCCCAAGAGCTATTTTAAATTTTGCTCGAAAATCAGCTGCTTTTCTCCCTTTCCTGCAAGAACAGGAATAGTTCATAGTGTAGTCCAAAGTTTGAAGCCCCATTTAAGGTTTCAGAGTTCACTACGATCTCTTGTCTGTACCATGTCTTAAGTTTTCGTAGAACTCGGTTTAAAAGGCTTTTTCTTTTTCTGAGCACGGTGCTTACTGTCAGCCCAGGTCTCTCCCCGACCCGTTGTCCCCTCAGCCGCTGGCGTCGATCTGGCAGGTGCGAGGCCGAGGCCCGGAGCTGAGCGGAGGAGGCCGAGTTTACACTGTGCGCGGGCCTAGCCGCGAGCTTCGCGAGCCTGGCCGGGGAGCGCTGAGGCGGGTCAACCTGCCCGCTCGGGCTGGGGAAAGGCTCCCTCAGCGCCAGTCAGCTCTCCGCCTTCAGCAACCAGCGCCGCCGAGCCGCCGAGGCCAGGCGGCGCTCCACGGCAGTCTCAGCTAACACGCCCCGCCGCCGCCCCTGTAGCACTTCGGCGACTCGCGGACTCCAGCCCGCCGGTCGGCCGGAGAAAGGCAGGCCGCCTCGGTCGGGCCGAACGCCGCTGCAGCTGGAAGGCCGGCGGGCGGGAGGTGGGGAGCGAGAAGGCGGGAGGAAGGGCGCGGGGCAGCCCGGGCGCCGCGCGCGAGGCGCCGAGCGAAAGCGCCACCAGGGCGGGGGCGGGGCGAGGGCGGGGCCCGGCCTTCCCGCTCCCGCGGCGCTGCAACTCCGCGGAGCCTCCTTAAAACTCTGCCGTTAAAATGGGGGCGGGTTTTTCAACTCAAAAAGCGCTCAATTTTTTTCTTTTCAAAAAAAGCTGATGAGGTCGGAAAAAAAGAAGAAACCGGCACCGTCTCTGCAGAGGCAACAGAAGCAGCAATTGTTTCGGCGAGAAAAGCAGCAAGGGAGGGAGAGAAGGAAAAGAGCAGAGAGAGAAGGACGACGCGCCAGTGCCCATAAGGGGTGAAAGGGTGCGGGGACCCGCGATTTTAGGGGACCGGCTACAAAAGAAACTGTCACTGGGAGCGCTGCGGCGAGGACGGAGTGCTGCCCAGCTCCGCTGCTGGGCACAGCTGGCTGGCGGCTGCTGCCTAGTCGGCGGCACAAGCTAGGGGCGCAGGCCGGGGGACGGCGAGAGGTTGGCGAAGTGGCACCGGGCGCAGAAGCTGCCAGGCTGACGCCGAGAGGGCAGCGGGACTGGCTGCGCCCCGGAATTGTGGCGACTCCCCATACTCCGAGCTTGGCCTGCGCTTCCCAGGATCCTCCCCATCTCCGGAGGCTCCCCCAGAAAACTGGAAAAGGAAGGAAAGGACAGCGGCGGCGGCAGCGGCGGCGGCCGCTCCGTGAGCGCCTGCAGTAGGGATCCTGAACTAGCTCGATCGTAGGCGGGAAGTTACCGGCGGGCTGCCCTTGGCGGCCGCGATGCTGCCGCGAGCCACCCCAGCGGCCGGAGCCCCGTAGACGCTCCCCGCATCGCCTTCCTCCCGCCTCAGGCTGCCGGGAGTCCCCGGACCTGGGGGGGCCGGCATGACGGGCTTGCCGGGGGCCTGCCGCGCGCCCGGCACCCTCCGGAGACGCGCGCCGAGCCGGGCTCCCACGGCCTCTGAGGCTTGGCGGGGCTGCGGCAGCCCGGCCGGCGGGCTTTGGAGCCTTCCTGCACGGCGTTAGCTCGCAGCTCGGCCCGGACGGAGCTACGGGCTTGCCCTGGAGAAGCTGAGAACACTGGGGAGTCCTCACGACCTGTAACTTGAGGGCCACGGAACTGCTACTGCCGTCTGCCTTTGGCGATCGTCTTTAACCCCCGGAGCACGTCAGCACCGCGGCGCTCTCCCTGCAGCACCGGATTGAGGACTACCCCTTGGGCTAGACGGATGGAAACCCAGTCTCTCCGAGGACCTGCCCCTGCAGTTCTGGCTCGCTCGGCTCAAGTCACCACCGTGAACAAGGGTGGGTTAACACTTTTTCTTCCCCCCGCTCCCCCCCCCCCCCGCCGTGTCTTCTCTTCCGTGGTATTTTCTGCCCTGATCCAGTCCCTTAAGTCTCCACGCACGTTCCTCCTGGAGAGCTGCAGCGTAGGTACGTGACAGCTCTGCCTACATCTTAACGTCCAGAGCAATTAACCAGGAATGTACGTTTGTCTGTGTGTCTCTGTTCGATCACCAGAATTCTTCATAGGGGTTAAGCTGAAAAAGCAAGGAGAGGAGCCCCTCTCCAATGGCTCAGTTTTGCTGAATAATCACGTGTGAATCGAGGGGCGGGCTTTTGGCAGGCAGATCTTACTAGTATTTACTACCAAGCTCTACTCCAGATTAACCATCCCAGTCCTTCTGTCAGTCTCCGATGCCATCATGCAGCCTGATTAGGAGCAAAGGAAAGGGGAAAAAGGAAAACAACTAATTCATCTTTTCCCGATCGTCAGGACCCTAAAGAATGGCCGAGCCTTGGGGGAACGAGTTGGCGTCCGCAGCTGCCAGGGGGGACCTAGAGCAACTAACTAGTTTGTTGCAAAATAATGTAAACGTCAATGCACAAAATGGATTTGGAAGGACTGCGCTGCAGGTTGGTATCCAGAGAGGTGGGGAAAACAGGTTAATAACGTTGCCTACGTGACCCGGGTTTCTAGAATGACAGCTTTTAAGCTTTCAGGGGTACGAAATTTCACTGTTTTTAAACCTAGTTGGTTGCCATATTTTATATCTTTAAATGGATCCAACTCTCCAAAATGACGTACTTTGAACGAACTCGTTAAATGCAATAACATCCTCGATATCAAGTGGATGCCAGGTTTGGTCTTAATTTTTGGAATGTTTTTGTGACGGTGGGGGATTTTAGAGTAGTCACAGCAGCGCCGAGGTTTGTTGGTTTTGTTTTGTTTTTAGACAGCTATGTAAACACATTATGATCATTATTTGAAGTAAATATACTGGTATTAGTGGTTTAACATAGTTAGCCCCCAAATAATTGACCTTGACGCTAATTTTCTTGACTACTAATAAGGGTGTTTTTCCTTCAGATGTTTCACATTTTGACAAAGGGCTTTTCCTCCTTGGGAATGGGTGGCCTGGGCACCAGGGCAGGATGTACATTTCACAGCTAGTGTGATACCATCCACTCATTCAGGAGTGAGGAGGAATGAAAAGTTGAATTTTCTAATCAGAGCTCATTGCTGTGTTTTTCTCTCTGTGGTCAGGCCGTGGTATGCTCTAATTTTCAGTAATTAAATTTACAGGCAACATTGACACATGTCCAGCTGCCAAGTATTGTACCTGATTAATTTTTTTCCTTCTCTAAACATTGTCGAGTAACTTAGTTGAAAGGCTTAGAAACAGAAAAATGGCAAATTAATCTCAAATTGTTGCTTTTATCAGAGTTCTGATGACATTCTTATGAACTATTCTTGTTCGGAAATGCAACACTTGAAGCTGGGCTTTGTTTCAATTATAAGAATTAGAAATTTAAGTGGCAAGACGTACACTGCTAACAGACGAGGTCCATTCAGTCTGTACATTTTAAATCAGAATATGCTGGCCTTGCAAAAATTTCAATATTAAGAAAGATTTATGCAGATACTAAATTATTTGTCTTGTTATTTCAGGTAGGTTATTTAGGGAAAGAACTTTTTTTTTTTCCCTTTTGCCACCTAATAGTTTTAAATAGATTTGGTGATGATAGCAATGCCACAAATTTAATATATTGAAAACTCAAGAGGTTATATAAATCTCACAAAGAATCAGCCACTTAACCCATGTTCAGAATAAGATCTTACAGGACTTTTGACGAACAAAAAGACTGGGAGATCAATACTATTTCTTAAAAAGCTTTCACACATATTTTTAATATACTCTGCAATCTTATTTATATTGAAAATTTATTAAGATACTAATACCCATTTATTGCGGCTTAGTCGTAGTACAAATAATGAAACACACACACAAACAAAAACAGGAGGCTAAAGGCTTATTTTCAGTATGCATGATCCTGATTCTGAAGTTGTGTCATAACTCAAGAAAGAACTTTCTTCAAAACCATCTCCAATATCACTAATATTTTCTGTGAAAGATGGCAAATTTTCTTTTATTATAATTTTGTTTATTGAACTCAATTGCAAAAGCTTTTTCGCCTTTCCTAGTGTAAGTTTTTCAATCAGGATAATGTCAAAGGCCTTAATCGTACATTTGCTTTACGAAGATCCAAGGTGTGTCTCTTATTTTTTTCATTTTAGGCCCTAAAATGTGACTAAAACTTTAAGGACAGTTCTGGCAAAAATTATATTGTATTAATTTTTAATAACCAAAGAATGTGTTTCACTTAAGTTCTTAAAAAATAAATTATGTGTCATTTTTACCACTCTCCTAAAGGAAGGGCTACAACTCAATAGAGTTTTATCAATGAGGAAGCTTAGTATCTTGGCCATCTATATAATTTGAATTTATAAAATATGTATTCTAAATATATTTTATTACTTACCTTGTGATTATTTTAAACATTTTAAAGAGATAGATCAACTTTGTATTTTCCAGTGGATTAGCTTTTAATTTCATAAGCATTTGAATGTCTTATTCTTCACTGTATTTATTATAAATTTAGATCATTATGAATATATCTAAATATAAATGAAACCAGTTAAAATGCTGATAATTTCTAGCATATTAATGAGAGTAATATTTTCACAACTAAATCATATGTATTTTATACTTGCATGCTGCTGTACAAGATATTTTATAATTATGAGAGACTAATAGAGACCTACTATTAGAGTGAAATATGTTCAAGCAACAACAGATAAGTCTTTGAGTTGTGATTATTTGTATGTTGATAGCAAGTGTAAAATGTTGGCACTATACAAACAGCCATTCCTAAATACTTATAATAACTACAAAAGAAAATAAGATGGGGTCACCGGCTGATTATTAAATGAGTTCAAATCACAAGATAAAGCTGCCCGTGACCCAAAACCTACATTAGGCATCTTATTTTTTCTTCTGTTGATCACTTGAAAATCAAGAGGTTACTCAGAACTCTGAGAAACAATAAGTAATATAAAAGGATGACTGTTTCATTCCTTTCAAGAACAGTTTGCCACAAAATCATTTCCTGTCTACTGCAAAGCATATCATGAACTTAGTTTTAGATAAATTGATTTAATAAGCAATATAGAACGCTGTTCCTTATTAACACCTTAATAATCAGTAACATTTTGTAATTTGAAATGAAGGATCCTAAATACTGAATACACTTAGTAGTCAATATTAAATAACTTGTGAAGAAAAATGCTTTTTAATAACATGGAAGTTTGGGACTATCTATTTGGAGGGAATTTGTGAAAATTAATCCTTTAAGAAAATATTGTCTCAATTTTTGATAGATCAGTGTTGTAGATGGTAGTCTCATGTATTGAAACACTAATTTTTAAGTTCAAAGAAACTTACCATCCTTATTTGTTTTCAGTGGCTATTTAGAAAATAAATTTTATCTACATTTCATTTTATTATTCATTTCATTAATACCTCAGAAAGATTCATTGAGCAAGAACAAGCAAACAGAAGGAAACCCTTATTTAAACCCCAAATCCCACTTCTTTCATTTTAATAAATTCATGAAACCACACAAGTCTTCGTGGAAGATCGAGAACTGAGTTGTTAGTAAATTATATATAGACTGTACAGATCTTTTTTTATTGATCAGTTGATTCTACTTTTGGTCCCCTTTAAGACATTCCATCAAAGTAGCTCAATTTTTTAGAACTTTTCTTCTACTTTTATCTATTAGTTCTTTCCTGCAAATGTGCCCTTCCAAACTCCATCCTATGGATCTTCCCATAGAACTTCATCAAAATAGTCACATAAATGGAAGGCGGTTAGTTAATTTCTGAAGCCCGAGCGCCTGAAGGATTCTACCATTTCTACTTCTCTTCTAGGTTATGAAACTTGGAAATCCCGAGATTGCCAGGAGACTACTACTTAGAGGCGCTAATCCCGATTTGAAAGACCGAACTGGTTTCGCTGTCATTCACGATGCAGCCAGAGCAGGTTTCCTGGACACTTTACAGACTTTGCTGGAGTTTCAAGCCGATGTTAACATCGAGGATAATGAAGGGAACTTGCCCTTGCACTTGGCTGCCAAAGAAGGTCACCTTCCGGTGGTGGAGTTCCTTGTGAAGCACACGGCCAGCAATGTCGGGCATCGGAACCACGAGGGGGACACCGCCTGCGACTTGGCCAGGCTCTATGGGAAGAACGAGGTCGTTAGCTTGATGGAGGCAAATGGGGCGGGGGGATCCGAAAATCTGCAGTGAATGTAGGGAGGGCTGTCCCAGGTTGCCTCTACTTTGTCAGTCAGTTGGTTGGCTGTGTTGTTTTAATACCGTTTGTTAAAATACGGCTTTGTCATGTTTTAAGCAGCTAGTTAAATGAAACTAGTAAGTGGAAATCTTTAAGCAACATCTTTTTCACCTGCAAAATCCTGAAGTCTAATGTGTAATTGCGAATAGCTTTGGCTTTCTTCTGAATATTTTATCTTTCTTTGATTTTTTTTCCCCCTTGCTCTACCCTTTGCCAATCTCAATACCCAGCATGGAGACTTTGTTTTTAAAATGGTTTGTCCTGATGCTTCTTTTACCTAATTAAAACACTTTTTCAGAACAGGACAGTGTTTTGCTGTGATTTTCACTCCTCTATACCCACACATAACTTGCCATTTGCTAAGGAGCACTGTACTGAAAGTTGATATTTTAAGTCTGAACATTAGAAAGTAGGCCAATTGGAAAACTAGATATATGCTCTTTATCAGTTATTTCTTTTCTTCTCTCCTCAACTGCCCCCTCACAGGGATTTTATTTGGTGCTAGTTTTAAAAGAAAATGCCACCTTGGAAGTTCTTATCAATAGTTGGTTTTTTAAATCACAAAATTAGACAATTGATTAAATAATATATTCTCTTAAATTATACCATAAGTGTACTAAGTGTAATCTTGGCTTTTTTCTTCCTGAATGTAAAATTACAAAATGTTTAAGTATTAAAGTAAAATAAAAATACTGATTTTTAGAGGATAAAAACTCAACAAAAAAATGTATAAATCATATCTAGAGTCCATAACTGTTTTAGGGTCTACACAATAATAAATTTGGAAACTTAAATAAATAAGCCACTCCTACTTACGATACTTGATTTCCACAAAACTTTTTAGTAAGGGAATATTAAATCTTTTTAGGAATATGTTTAGGTAAAAATAAAAAGTTATGAAAGAAATAGAAATATCTCAAATTCCCAAAGGATTTTCAAGCATCTACTGTTTCCTCTGTCATTTTAAGATTTTTCACCAAAGAATTTCAATGCAGTTACCATTTATAAATTTATAAATACTTGATTCATCATCTCCCACATGAACAAAGATGTTTTATGTGAAAGTTCCCTCCTGCTTCATAAGCTTCCCTGCCCTCACTCTAAAAAGAACAAAATACTTCAAGGTTTATTGAAGGACATGGTTCTGATGCCTGCCCTAACAAGGACTGGAATGGTTGCAGGCAAGTGGTTTTCAATAATTTATTTTCTATGTAGTACAAAAGAATATAAGAGAAAAAGATTGATCTTTTTCACTTTATACTAAAATTCACACTCCTTAAGTTATATGCAACAAGACTCTGACTTCTGCCACCATTAACATTGCTAAACAAATGTATTTTAATGGCAGCATGAAATTGAAATACTTATTATAGAAAAAAGTAGAAACATGATTTGAAGGAAAAGTGTGTTATATTCTGTACTTAAAAATGGGTCTATACACAAAATGTACTGTTTTAGTAAGCTGAATATTTTCTAAACACTATTACTGAAAGTAGTAACTTAAAAAGACATTCTCCCAATTGTAAAGCTGGAGATTTCTGAATTTAAGGGCCAGTTTAGCCTCCACGTGTCTCACCATTTATGTTATTCCATAAAGGAAAATTTCCCTTTAGAGATTCCAAATCTAAAGGCATAGGATTTCACAAAGCAAAAGAAGTTTTTTTCTGCAGTGGCTTTGTTCTCGGGTGGTGGAAGCACAATAGAGGGAGAGGAAGCTCTATCTCTTCATCAGCCTAAAATGTGCTAGGTATTAAAACACCGCTACATTACTCTGGCTCTTTGCAGGAAGTAGCTTTGTTCATCTAAGTATTTCAGAAATGAGTTATGTGGTCCCCTCTAGGAAACACGAAAAGCCATTATTCAATCTCAAAAACCTCGACGCTATTCAGCAATACCCTTGAACATGCTGAAATGTAGAGGACAGAGAAAGGGTGCTGCTGAGTTTAATGGAGTGTAATTTGCAGCGAGCCAGGTGAGGAGGGGGTCTTAACTTATTCAGATTCAGAAAGTGGGAATGCAGGTGCTAACTAATAGCGGGCTCAGAGCCCTAGGGAAGGATGAAGGACAGAGGAGCGCTCTCAAATTCAGGTCTTTCCCTGCATCCGCATCTGCACCCGCATCCGCACCAGCAACAGGCTCAGTCTTGCCCAGTAAAGCCGAATCCAGGCTTACATCTAGGGCGGGGTGGGGGTAGGGGGCTACTAACAGGACCTCACGACAGCATTCTGGTCCCGGAACCACTAAGAGAAGCGTCTTTTATCATATTTCGGTAGTGGACACTGGTTTTCTGCTAAGCATCATGCATCTCGCCATGGCGTGATGAGCTCATGTACACACACCACGCTGGGCAACTTTACTGATACCTAAGTGTTCTGTCCTGGGAAAGCAAGTCACTCGATAATGTGATAAATATCCTTTATCCTGCTGATCAAATGAACATTGTGGGGTCCGTGGATTCAGACTGATTTCGAAATCTCGGTTCCCAGAAAGGTACTTTTCGGCTTTTTACCGGGCGTAGAGTTTAACAGTGCAGAAGTGCCAGCAGTCACAGTGCTGGGAACGAGAAAGGGTCGCACTTGCAGCATTCCCGGCTGCCCTAGGCAAGCCTTATTAACAGGCTGCGGGGGGAAAGTCCCTGTCTCGATCTCCGGGGGCTGTTTTGCGTTTGCCCGGCGTTTCTGTGAAAACAGATGCAGGGACCTAGAGGTCTGAGGCTCGGGCTAAAGCTCTGCCCGTAAGCCAACCCTGGCCCTCTACGGAGGGGCTGCGAAGCCGTCCTTTTTGCCCCTCTGAAACTCTCTCTCCAGACTCCCACTCCAGACCCCCAGCGCACAGGCGAGGAAGCTGGAGCCCAGAGCTCCCTCAGGGCGCGCAGAAGAGCCCGGGGTGGGGGTGGGGGAGCTTCAAAACCGTTAGCTCGCATTTTTTCCTCCCTCCCTAAGGTTTCTTTTCTTTTCTCTTCCTGTCCAAATATTTCAAATTTCCCCGCCTTAAATAACAGTCTCCTTTTATTTAGCTAGTTTCTTCGGCAGGTTTGGCCGCCCGCTTGTCTCTGCCCCACTACGGGCCCGGGGCGCTTCAGCGCCTCGCTACTGCCTGCAGCCCCCGAGCGCTGCCCCCGGCCCAGCTTGCGCGTCCCAGGGCGCGCCCGCCGCAGCCACGGCCCCCTCCTGCCGCGCGACCTCGCCTGACCTGGCTGTCTCGGCACCCAGAGCCAGCTAAGGCCGCCCCCCACCCGGACGCCTGCCTGCCTGCCTGCCTGCCGCCCCAGCTCGACTTCCCTCCCCGGACTTTGGAGCGTCTTCTGCTTTTGGGTTTGGATCCCGGTAGCCCTGGACCTGCGGGAGGGCCGCGCAGATAGGAAAGCAGCGGAGGAGGCCGGTGGCCGGAGCCTGCCCCAGGCCCCCACCCCGCGGGTAACCTTGGAGGCGCCCTCGGAGTGAGTGTGTGCGCTCCCGCGCCAGCCGGCCGGGGCGAGCTGGCGCACAGCGCAGCGGGCTGGAGGCGGGAGCTGGGGGCGGGGAGGAGGAGCGGGCCCCGGCGCCTCCCGGCCGCCGCCGCAGCGCCCGGGGAGCTGCGGGTTACCCGGGCGGCCAGGCACTCCCCGCCCCTCCGGTCCTGGCCCTCAGGCAGCGGTCCCCGAGGACGCGGCAGCCATCCCACCGGGTGGTTCCGGCGACCTGTGCCTGAGGGACTGGGGCCGGAGGGCGGCGTGGGAGCAGAAGCGAGCGGGCCGGTGAGTGCCCAGCTCTCTACAGAGGTGAGCTGGCGGCCGGAGCGACTCGGTCCCCAGCGCCTGTGCCAGCACTCCCTCCCCTCCCCCGGCCCCCCCGCGACAGCTGAGGACAGCCGGGCTCCGAGCCTCGAGTCCAACTGCGAGGAGGCAAAAGCCTCTCCGGCTTCTCTGCCCCTCAGGCTGTTCGCAAAGTTGCACTAGGGTTTTGCTCACCCCCGACCCCCCATAAACCACTAGACTTCCGGGACCGAAAACGCACGTCCATTCGGGGAGACCCTCAGCTTGGAACGTGGGGAATCGCAGGAGGGCTGAGGTGCGCGAACCCCCTAGAAGGGGTTTTGTGTTTTCATCCGGAGCTCTTTGGAAAATCTAGGGTGGATTTTCCGCTGAAGATACCTCAAAAGATTTAAAAATTCCCCAGATCTGGATACAGACTCGGTACATGAAGTTAAATGTTTTTGCCATCTGCCGTAGAAAAACAATGTGCGAGTTTCAGGTGTTAGGATGTGGGTTTGGAATTTTCTGCGCTTTTAATCCTCAGAGACGTTAAATAACAGCGTACTAACACCCGGCAAATGAGCCAAGGTTATCCTTGCCACCACAGCACCTGCAAAAGCACAAATGGAACTTAAGCATTTTGCTTCCTAAGTTCTAAAATGGCTTCTGAACTGTCCAGAGGTACCAGCACGCACGGGGAAGGGGACCAGGGAACTGGAGGAGAGTTTGTACATTTTTTTAAACGACATAGATGTTACTACACTAAAATTCTTCCACCTAGCCCCTCTCTCCCCTCCAGCCCCCATCCTCATAGGTCGAGGAGGAATTTCAGTGCAGGCCTATCCAACAATTCTGTATACAGCCTTTTTTTCTTGCTTCCCATCTCCCCCCTCCTCCAAAAGAACACAAAACAACCGGCCAAAAACATCAGCTCTTTTGGGGAGGAAGTAAAAAACCACCAATCCTTATCCAGCTACACGTCATTTATTTTGAAAACTAAGGAGAACTGCAAACACCCAATGCTATGAAAGAAAAACTTACCAGGAACTCAATGCACTTAATTGGTGTAAATAATATTGTCTAAATAATAATATTGTCTTTTAGCATGAAAATGATGGGACCATTTCTGGAACTCATAGGTGGAAAACTCAAAACTCTTTCTGGAAATTTTTGGACAGACTTCTGCTCTTCTTTATATTACACCAGTGCTGTAGTTGAAAAAATTGATATTTTATCTTGACCATAAAAAGTAGTATCATGCCAAGCAATTTTATTTTACTTATGTGCCTTAGATTTTTCAGATTAATCATATGAATAATGAAAGTCCACATGTAAAGGAAAACAACCAAATTCTTGATCACAACCATATTAAAATATAGTCCACTCCTCTATCCTTTGTCAGTGTACAGTTTGCACAGCTTGCTGGAAAAGAAATCTATCCTGAGTTTAAAAGTTATATTTTGGAAACATAATTTCTTAAAAAAGAACTTACTGGTCTTTAGGAATAAGTGTTCTGTAGTTTGGCAATTCTGATGTACAGATAATGCAACACTATCTCCTTTTCTTTTA